TGTTTCATAACAATGTAAAAAAACACAAACAATTTAGTGAACCGTTTTACTTTATACGGAGTATATTGAGACTCCTAATGTAAAATATAGTGAGTCTTTAACTCCGATCCATTGGAAATGATGGAATAAACATGTTCATAACTTTTTTCATAAGTAAACAAATTGGTAAAAGATTATACAAATTAATAAGTACTTAACTTTTCCCCGTTTAGTAATATAGTACGTGGTATGATATATTTTGGTTACTTAAGCTTAATTTTTTGTTCTTCCAAATTGAGGTCGTTCATATGTTGATTTGAGAGAGCTGAGTTGTTTGTTTCCCAAATTGTTTTGAAAATATACAATTGAGGAAGAAGTGAGAAGAATGCAAAAATGACGAGTGCTGCAATGCGATGGGTTCTATAAAATAAATTGTTCCTTTCATAGTCATTTTTTATTTGTTGTTTTCTCCGCTGGGAGAAAATTGAGCTCTTGAGGCTGCAATAACAAAGATCTATTAGTACCAATTCACTAGAGAGGGAGCTGGCTTGGGTGAAGTGAGGCCTCAAACATGAAACTACATCTTCCCTGAAGAATATGACTACCCAGTCCCAATTCGTCCCATGGTGTACGTGTTAGATTTAGGAGTTGTAAATATGGTGTTCCGATTAGAAATGTTTTTCTGAGTCTGAAATGGCAATTTGAAGTGTTTAGGGTTAGTTTGCAACTGCTTTTAAAAAAGCACTTCTCAGCTTTTGGCTTTAAAAAAAACTTATTTTTCCAAACACTACAACTTTTATTTTTCTCGGCTTCCGCGTAAAAAATGATTTTACTTTTTCTATTACACAAAAAGCACTTATTTTACCAAACACTACCCACTTTTACTTTTCAAAATCACTTTTTTCTCAAACACTATCAACTTTTATTTAATCACTTCTCCTCATTTCATTAAAAAAGCACTTTTTTAAAAGCAGAAGCTGTTGCAAACAGACCCTTATTCTCATTTTTTGCTTGATATATGAACTAAAGATATAATTTGATGTCTAATACATTACATTTTATTTTTTTTAAAAGAAAGCTACGAAGTTTTCCATTTGGTAAATACTTCCATTTCCTCAATTTTACATTATGCGGTTCTAATAAAAGGGTTATTTGGTCATTCCATGTAATTCAGACTTCTCATTCAGCACACATAGTAAATAACTTGTTATCTTAGTATCACTTAATCCAGACAGACATCTTAATACATGCAAACGTCTTAATCCATCTAGGACTTAATGAGAGAAAAAATAATCAGCCCCTAAATGCAGCCACACAATTGCTATTCACACCCATCAAAATTAATTAATTAAAATATAAACGGAATGCATCCCTATGCTATGCCACTACCCTCTCGATCATCAACCGATGGAGATGTTCTCCCCACCACCTTTTGCGGCCACCAGCCTTGTGACCACTGCTGCCGCCTGACGTCCACTCCGTAGCCTCCACATCCTCCATGAGATTGAGGCTCGTTTAAGGAGTTGATGACAGCCATGGAAGACATACAGAGTATAGATACATTTGGGGTTTGCTTTACCAGTCGAAAAGAAAGTAGTGTTAGGAAGCGTAAGTTGGTAAACTCAATCGATTTGTTTAAAACGAATTCGATAAAAAAGGCTGTGCTTAGCAAAAATCGGAGTGCATTTAGAATTTCCCTTTTTACTTGGACTGCAATTTGTCCCACACTAGACCAGACTTGGATAGTTATAAAAATACAAAGAGATCAGACATTATAGGTATGACCAGGTTAGACCAGTCAAACCAGACCAGATCAGACCAGCAAATTATAGTCCAAGTAAAAACATCATAACACTCGGAATGTAGGCCTGTCCGGATGGGCCATTTGTCTCGCCCAGGTTCACCTGCATCGCCCGACATGATATCTCTTGAATGGGGTCGCACCCTTGCAACCATCTTGCTTTGGGATGTGCTTTATCAAAATATTGATGGAAACCCAAAAACTGTGTCTTAGTTTGACTTGACACGATTATTAATGAAGTGATTGAAAAAGTAAATGTTGTGATTGGGGTTTGAGTATAATAAAGTGAAATGGTGTAGACCACATATAGACGATTTTATAATTGGGGGTCATCCTATGAGGCTATGAGGGCACACCAGCTAGTTTACAAGCTAGAGATTCAGGCTTTGATAAGTGTGTTGTAAGGATATGCACTTTACCTCTTTCCTTGTCTCATTATTTCAGTAAACAACCACACTAACATACCCTGTGTTGGGCTCTCAGGGTGCGAGGGCATTAACATCAACAAGAGGTTTTTTATAAAATAAGAAAAAAAATACTATAATCAATATTCAATAATGTTATGGTTACTTAAATGTGAAACTTGAACATACGTAATTATGACTAAAGTCGCAATTAGGATGTTTTTACTTGGACTGTAATCTATCACAAACCAGATAAGATTAGACTAGACTAGACTAGACCAGATCAGACTTGAATAGTTATAAAAATACAAAGAGACCAGACCAGACCAACAAATTACAGTCCAAGTAAAAATATCCTTATACTTACTAGAGTTAGGATGTTTTTACTTGGAGTGTAATTTGTTGGTCTGGTCTGGTCTGATCTGGTCTCGTCTGTTCTGAATTGGTCTGGTCTGGTAAGGTCTGGTTTCTTTGTATTTTTATAACTATCCAAGTCTGGTCTGGTCTGGTCTGGTCTGAACTAGTCTGATCTGGTCTGGATTGGTCTGGTCTGGTCTGGGACAAATTACAGTCCAAGTAAAAACATCCTTAATAACCACATTTAATTTTCATCAAATTGTTTATTTTAATCATAAACATAATGTGTAAATAATTTAATATAATTATTTCTTAAATTTGAGAATGTTTTGTGTAAACGTAAAAGTGAACACGGTATGATACAATTATATGAACTCGAGAAAAACTTAAATTTGTGACAAGAGTTGGATACTTGGATGGGTGCATCCATTGTTGCTTTCTACGTCGTGAACTTGCCTTTGATCAGCTTTCACTATAGTTTTTTTTAAGGAGCTTTCACTATAGTCTATAGTTATGTTTCAACTTTCAACAATCTCAGATTTTAGTAATTCTTTGAGAATTTTGAAAAATTAATTAATACTCCATATAATGTATTATGTATTTATGTGTCAAATTATTTCTGCACCGTTAACATTATCCCAAGGAGATTTTTTAATAAAAGGGAAAAGGGTAAATAGGACCTCGAACTTATATAAAAAGGTCAAATAAGCTCTTATATAGGTGATGACTCTGTCCGGCCGTCACCATTAGGGACGGTTCGCGATGGAATTTTTTAATGATTTTTTTTGAGCATCTTATTTATTAAGGTTAGTTTACTCATACCAAATTTTAGCTAACAATTCAATCAGGAAGACATTCAAATGAACTTACTCATTAAGTCTAGTTTACTTATAAAACTTTTCAAATCAAAATCTGTTTTTTACTTTACTAATTTCATCCCTTTTCTACATAAACTATTGTTTATGTATATTACCTGAAATAAGACTAAAAAATTTTGAAAATTCCAAAATAGGACTGACATATTTTTATTCCCAAAACAGGATTAATTACTGTCATGTTTTGGCAGTACCAGACTTCAAACATGGCAATATTTTCCAAACTTTGCAGTAATTACTTCTATTTTGGGAATACAAAACATATCAGTCTTATTTTGGAATTTTCAAACTGTTTTAGTTCTATTTCGGGAACTTTCCCTTATTTAATTTAGAGCAGAATCTTTAAAATGTTATAACTCCACTAGTACTAATAACGGCATAAAACAAGAAAAAAACATGCCCGACATTAATTTATGCAATTTTTAAAATACTTTTTTTCATTTTTGTTGGATATTTCTCTTTGAACAATTGATTATTATATAGATTGAGGCCAGAAAGATGAAAACTGATGGTGAGGCATTGGCATTGATGTTGGCTGACTTGATATGTCAAAAAGCATCTTAGACATATGAATGTGATAGGGTGCACCCCCCACCCAACACTCTACATGAATGTGACTTCAAAGATGGCTACAAGAGAAATCAAAGGCATAACAATATTCTTTTAGAAAGGATTTAACAACTCTAATTTATTAGGTGAATAATGATTTTTCAAGGCTTTGGAATTGGATACTTTGAGGGGGGAAAAGGAGTATTCCCATTACTTTTTTCTACAAAAATACAAAACCAACTCTTTCAATATTTTCTCTTTACCACTTTCGATATTTAACTCTTCCATAAACTTTTTCAATTCTTTATTAAGCGTTACCAATAAGAAGAAAATAATATAATGTGTATGATCTTGACTTTAAATGAAAAAGAACAGAAGATGAAAGTGAATAGAGGATGAAAGTAGAGAAAAATGAGGGTAATGGGTGAGTTATTAAATAAGGATATGCTATGTATATAAAAAGAGGATAGTAAAATTGAGAATACAAATGTACTGTTAAGAAAATTTTGCAAAATAACGAAAATGCATACAAATGATAAAGAACTTCTCAGAAAGAAATAAGTGACAAGAAATAAGACTCTGTTTGCAAGTGATTGTGCTTAAATAAAAACACTTTTTGGGAAAAAGTGATTAGTAGTAAAAGTTAGTAGTGTTTGATAAAATAAGTGCTTTTTGTGTAATAGAAAAAATAAAAAGTAGATTCTACACGAAAACCAAGAAAGTAAAAATTGGTATTGTTTAGTAAAATAAGTGTTTTTTTCTTAAAAAAAAACAAAATCACTTAAATTAATTGTTTGCAAGCAAAGCCTAAGTGACATATAAGCCATACAAATTTTGGAGTTATAGAAGTGAATTTTGAATTTCCCCCGTTTATAGACCATGACGCCTTGGTGACTTGATCACAAGACTTTCTATATGAGAATGTTCCTATGTGTGGAACGTGAGATACTTGAGCTGTATTAATTCGTCATATGCATTTGTAGTGTAAAAATTTCAAATTTTGGAATATAAGGTCATAATAGAAAGACATCATTTGCGATTTTTGTTTTTTTTTGTAATAAGAATCTAAACAAAAAGGGTTGTTTAGGCAAATGTTCTTATAAATCATTTAACTGATACAAGTCAACAACCACACCAATAATAATATAATATAGTTTTGTAACCTAAAACAGGTTCAAACAAACTGAAGTTTGTTATTCCATAATCCTCTTAAATTTAGAAAAGCTTTTTATTTTTCCTCAATGCATCAACATCTCATTAGAATCTCAAACAGATTTTTTCTTGCGATTGAGATGCAGAGACAATCTGTTCATGAAACAGCCTGTAAAATACAACTTCAACGCTGGTGGTACAAAATTTTTATTCTCTTCGCAACCTGTCTATACGAGTCGTTCTTAGATTTATTTATGTATGTAAGGATAGCGGGAGACGGCTTATGCCACAGCAGCGAGGAACTGCGTTGGACCAGAGCAAGGAGAGACCGAGAACTCGATCGGTTTCACCGTCCCGGTACCACGATTTTCTTTGAGTTCATCCATGGACATTTGTTTGCACCGGCACTCTATGCTGCAAAACGCAGTTTCTCCTCTGCAAGTGGTAAACCATAAGAGTTATAGCTGGCTTTAATTCTTCTCTCTTTCCAAAGGTTGTTCAAAAATCAAAGGAAAGTAGGAAACAATAAAACTTTCTGTTTTATTTGATGCATATTCTGTTGCAAAAGTAAAATTCCCTGAGGGCCCGTTTGGAACTTGGAAAATGCTAGGAAAATAACATAAGGGGGACATATCTTATTATAGAAATCTGGAATGAAAAAATGTTCACTAAAAGAAAACATTTGGTTCAAATTAAATATATTTATGTTTATTATTTGTTCAAATCTACTTTTAATTGAAATAACTACAAGTTGTGATTAAAATAAAGATTATTTAGTAGTAACTTTAGAGTTTAGTCATAGTAACTTATGTTCAATCTATACACTTACGTGACTATAACACTATCATGTAGTAACTTCTAGTCATATTTTGTAACTAAGTTTTATTTCGGTAACATATTTGAAAAACGCCTTTTTAATATTAATATAATTCAAAAATCTAAGGAGGTGTTTACTTCACTGCTAAAGTCACAGTTAGGTTAGTAAGACAGGTGAAGTAAACACGCACGCTGCTTAAAAAGCCGCTTACTAACCGAAAGAGGTGCTTAAAGTGCCGCTTATTAAGCATACCACCCCCCATGTATTAATTAAGCGGCACTTTAAGCTTTTTCAGTTTCCGAATTTACCCCTTGCCCTTACCCTATTGTTACCCATGCACCACCTACCTACCCGGCCCCACCTCGACCCCAACCCCACCCTACCCTTACCCCAACTACCCTACCCCTACCCGACCCCACCCCTACCCTACCCACACCCCACCCACTCACCTACCCCACCCCTACCCCACCTACCCAACCCCACCTTACCCCTACCCTATACCCTACCTACCCGACCCACCCCTACCCTACCCTGACCCAACCCAACCCTACCCTACCCTTACCCTACCTACCCGACCCACCCCTACCCTACCCTGACCCAACCCAACCCTACCACATCCTACCCCTACCCGACCCCACCATACCACTGCCCTACCTACCCGACCACACACCTACCCCTACCCTACTTACCCCACCCTTTACCCACCTACCCGACCCCACCCTACCCCTACCCTACCCTGACCCTACCCTGACCCCGCCTTAACCCCCACCCTACCACTTCCCTACCTACCCAACCCCACCCTACCATTACCCCTACCATTACCCCTACCCACCCCTACCCTACCTACCCAACCCTACCCTACCTACCCGACCCAACCCTACCACTACCCGTACCCTTACCCCACCTACCCCACCCTATACCCCGACCCCATCCCTTACCCCACCCTATACCTAGGGGGTCGGGGTGGGGCCGATGTGATAGAGGCGCTAGGGGCAGGGTAGGTGCAGTGGGGTCGGGGGTAGGGTTGCAGCAGGGTGGGGTCGGGTAGGTAGAGTAGGGGTAGGGTGGGGTCGGGTAAGGTAGGGTAGGGTAGGGGTAGGGGCGGGGTTGGGGTAAGGTGGGGTAAGGTGGGGTCAGGGTGGGGTTGATGTGGTAGGGGCATATGGGGTCGGGGGTAGGTCCGCGGTAGTGTAGGATGGGGTCGGGTAGTGGTAGGGTAGGTAAGGTGGGGTAGGGGGTGGGTGGGGTCGGGGTAAGGTAGGGTGGGTAAGGGGTTAGGGTGTGGGTACACATATTATATTATATTATATTATATACTTGTGTTCATGAATGTTTGTGTGTGTATATATGTATAAGGTTATTTTGGACATTTTAATGTTAAGCGGTGTTTTAAACCGTTTGAAGTAAACACGGTCTTACAACATTGTTTATTTTATGCGCCGCTTATTAACACGGGTCTTAATAAGCACCGTTTAATAACCGGTGAAGTAAACATGTCCTAAGTGTATTCAGGAAAACTAACCACAGTTGTTTTAATTTGCATTTTATGAGATATAACCCAACAAGGAAATAACTTTCTTCAATATTTTCTTACTTTTTTCTCTAGCATTTACTGAAATCCAAACATAGCCTAACTAACAGATCCAGTCGACATCCCTGTCCCTTTCACTGAAATCATATGGAAAATTTGCCAATATTTGGTGAACGTACAGAGAACTGATGGGAACTTTCTTTATTCAAAGTTTGTGATGCCATAAGCTAGAAAAAATGTGTGGAAAGTGAAAGCTAACAAAAACCTTAAGAAGACCATTTATAAATTTCTTTTTTTGTTCCAAAAAAGAAATCGTCTTTTATTTATGTATATACATGTTTTAAATTTTTATTTTTTTAATTATACAACAGAAAAGAAAAAGAAATCATCTTTGATCAAATGAAAATAACTTCTCAAGAAAATTACAAAAAAAAAGTAATAAACAAGTCTAAAATGATTACTTTAGCTAACCATAAAAAACGTTCTAAAATAGAAATGCTCAAGTTGTCCCATTCAAGGTTCCACTGTTCCAGACATAATTCGTGCAAACAACTTAACTAATTTTCATCTATAATTCTATACTCCCCGTTCCATGATAATTGACCCACTAGCTATTTCACGGAGATCAAGGAAAATAATAGGGAATACTAAGTAGGGTAGAAAAGTGAAGAATAAAGAGTAGAAAAAATGTGACACTCTGAAAGAGAAAGATGAAAAAGTGAAAAAGTGAAAAAGTAGAAAGAAAATGAGAAAATGTGAAGAGTAGAAATGACAAAGTTATTCCGGATGACTAAATAAGGAAAGTTGGACAAGTTTTGTGGAATGAAAAGTAAGAAAATATAGGGTAAAAGTTTCCAAATATGGAAATGGGTGAAATAAAAAATCACAAAAGAATATGTGGCAGCTTTTAAATTTTAATACTTCTTGAAATATTACCAAGAAAGAGCAAAAAATTAACTTTAGAGAATATTACCCGAAATAGGACTAAAAAGGTTTGAAAATTCCAAAATAGGATTGTCATGTTTCAATTCCCAAAATATCACTAATTATTGTCATGTTTTGGTAGTACCAGACTTCAAACATGGCAGTTCTATTTCGGAATTTTCAAACTGTTTTAAAAACAATATAATAAAAAAATATAACAAAATCATCTTTAACAAATAATTAAATTCCATAGAAAGGAATAATTCAATAACAATAAAAAGTAATAAGATATTTATGAAACATTTAATCAATAATTTGAAAACAAAAGGATGTTACTCCAAGTCAATTTAAAATCCTACTTCTAGCAAAGAAAAGAAAACTATTTTAAAACCGATTATCACAAAACTATTAATAAATTAATATACAATATATGTAACGGGCCAGGCCGGGTACCCGTTATTTTTTAATTTTGGAACCGGTCCGGTTCCTTAAAAAAAATTACCCGACCCTACCCGGACCGTTTTATGGCAACAAAAAATGGAACCGGCCCGTTTTGGACCCGAACCGCCATTACCCGGACCGGACCGCGGTTCCAAGACCCGTTTGCCCACCCCTAGTTGGATGTTGATGCAAACAGCAACAAAAAAATGTAGGACAGATCCACTTAAGTAACTAATAATCATTAATGGATTCGAGACAATATATCAAATTGTCGAACAGTTCACCACACTACTAGTAAAGCACATGATTTGAAACTCAGCACTTGGCATGGTTTATATGTCCAGGTAAAAAAAATCCCCAATAAAAGGTGCACACAATCATGAACAAATTTAGAGTTGGCTTTGAAAATCTACACAAATTGATTTGTGGACAAAATTTGTTTCAGAAAAGCAAAGAACATGACACTTTATGATTCTGATATTATACTCCCAAGTTTCAATATTTTTTGCTAGGGTGAAAAAAGGGAATGGAGAGAAGCAATGAAGTCACAAATGTGGTTGGGTGACTTCTATGGTTGGGAAGCAATAGGTTCTGTGAGCTAATGAAAGGGTATGCACATTATAAAGTTACTCCAAATTCCAAAACCTATCAATCCAATAATATAACCAATGCAAATGGTAATCTAAAAAGATTGATAATCAATTAGTCACCACCAAATTTGAGAAAGCCACTGCCGGGCTATATTAATGACCATAAAAATCATAAATAGGTACCCATGACCACAAAGAAATAAAAATCTAGGCAACTAAAAAAAATCTGAACTATATGTCAAATCACTGTAATAGTATCAGAACATGTGAACTAACTCGCATTCTAACTTATGCATTGAACTATACCTTATCAGAGAAGCTGGGATTTTTTTTAAACAAAGACTTCCTCTATCCTCAACTAACCTTCCTGTTTTAACTTGACCCTCTTGTTGAAAGTGGTTGAAAGCCCTTGTTAAGAAGTTTGGTTCAAAGTAATAGTGTGTTTCAGATTTCGGTGGAAATATAAAAATAATTTCAAGAAAGAGAATTATAATAATTAATTAATTAATTAATTAAATGTATGTATGTGTGTGTATAGATTGTTGAAGCGAGCTGACATATATTCTTAGAACAAAGCAATAACACTAAAGCAGCATATTCCTGCTTAGTCCGGTCCATTCAAAATCCAATTTAAAGATGCTCAAATATCAAAAGAAAAGGGGAACAAAGGGCACAAACAAGTTTTGTTTTTTCTTATTTGTTTCTATATTTAGGAAGCTGTAGAATCCAGATCCATAATAGCATCAAAGAACCACAAAAAAGCTCATATTAAGTAAAAACCCAAGGAATTTACAGAAAAGGAAAATGAACAAAAACCAAATATTCACCAAGAACACCAAGAAAGGAAAGAGGGTGGTTGAAATTTATACCTGTACATGAAAATGTCCAGACCTTGAAGCTGTTTCTTGCAAAGAAAGCAGGAACTAAGAAAATGAGCAGTCCCAAACGGCGCCGTTCCGCCCATCACTGAATCCATATGAGGATCAGTAGTATTACAAGCATTTCCCAATAATTCTCCATTAAAGTACTCAACTTTCCTGATTTGGTTAGCCCCCACCTGAGAAATCACACAAGTGTACTCCTCGCACATCCCATTCTCTTCCATCTTATAATCATTATCAGAGAAACCATTAATGGGTATCGACTGAGAAGCTGAGGAAGATCTGGGGGAGATAGCCAGAACCACGGCTCTACTCGAGCCGGAGCTCTTGAGGAGGGGAACCATACCTAGCCCAACGACGCCGTTTGGCTCCTCGAAGTGCTTGGGAGATCTGGGGGTGGTGGGTTTCTGGGAATCTCTCTGATCAGTGAGGGAGAAAAGGGGGAGGTTGATGGACAGTCTCCGGCTGCTCTGGGTCTTGCTTTCCTTGATGGGTTCCGCCATTTTTACAGAGAAAATGGTGCTGAGAATAGAGAATCTCACTTTTGGAGTGTTTCTTCCGTCTTCTCTCCGACCACCTCACTGAACATTTATGGGAGTGGCGGTGATGGAGACTTGGGGTGGGGAAAGGGAATGTGGAAGAAGAAAAAGCTGAGCTTTCTTCAGCTCGGGGGACGGGAGGGAGAATATAAACAGACACCGAGACCAGGGGCGGTGCGGTTTTGCGGTCTAGTGCTCCTCTCGCTCACGTTTTTGTAATAGTAACTTTTCACCTTTTTTACCTATGTGTTTTGGCGTTCTAAAAATAGACACGTTTTCTTTCTTTGTTTGGAAATGAAAAATCGTGAAATGACCAAATTACTATTGTAGTAACTTTCATTACTTTTTTCTGTCAAAAAAACTTTCATTACTTTTAATTACTGTATTTTTCACTAAAGTGTAGTTCGATTTTGAGGTAGAGTAATTCAACACTCATCGATCATCATGCGTATTTGCAAATAAGTGAATGTTATTTTATATAGGGTAGACGGAGGCCCTATGTGTGCTAACATATTAAAAACACATGTTCACTTTATGAAAAATGGAATCTTGTGAGATGTTAGAGACTGTATAACAAGCTCTATTCGTCTATCCAAATCGACGAGAATTTTTGGTCCGTTTTTTACGATCAAATTTTCCGTACAGTTCAGTACAAATTGGGTCGTACGGTTTACTAATTTTTTTAGGAAACATGCATCCTATTTTAATTAGGAGTTATGTTTTACTCTCTATAAATACAACTTCTCTCCCTTGTAATCGTGTGGATCCGAAAATAGCAAAACATTCTTGGTTTGGTAGCGCCCCAGACGTAGTCATTCGTGGCGAACTGGGTTATCAAATTTCGTGTGTTCTTTAATTGTTCTTCGTATTGCGTAAATTAATTCCTAACAAATCTCATACTCTTATTTGAAAATATAAACAATCACAAGTAATTTTTGTGTACCTATACCTATGTTTAATTTGTAGAGTATGTAGAGTGTGGGAAATGTAGAGTATATTGCCCATGCCCGAAACACATAAGAGGGATTGTTGTATTATTAAAAAAAGTGAAATTTGTTGTTGAAATTAAGTTAGTATAGTGTGAATAAACTACGGATGAAATGCAACAACATAAATATAATCAAATATAGTACTCCTTCCGTCCACTAACTTTGTCTCGTTTTATTTTTTTCGTCCGTCACATTAAGTTTGTCTCAAACCATATTTGATAATATTTGAGTGGTTAGAATTCATTTTTACTTCATTCACACTTTATCAATTCAATATCAATCACACAATTTTACTTTTTTTTTTAAACCACACCACACCCCTTTGTCCCAAACTTAAGGGGACAAAGGTAGTATGAAATAAATTTAATGAGAGGAACGAAAAAAGTAAAATGAGAACATATCGGGGGACAATCATCTTCAATGGGTGTAGAGAAGATTGGACTGAGCTAATACAAAGAATAATTTCAAATAAAATATGACATAAATTTTATATACTACTCCCACGTTCCATTGGATGGATTTTCCAATTTTCTCTTTTCAGTTGTTCCAAAAAATCGCCATTTTCCCATTAAAATAATTAATTTGTGATTCTGTTCATTTCTCTCTACTCTGCACAAATCTCAATCACACAACTTTTAATTCTTATTTCTTACATACTTTGAACTTGCCGAAGTCCACAGGGGCGAGGTAATATTTTTTTTGCAAACAATTTTATATACTATTTATTCGAAGTCTTTTATAAACTTGGAAGTTGTAATGAGCAGAATCATGTCCCCTATTGGCTTGCCCATTAGAGAGTGTTTGCGATTGCTTTTACTTAAAAAATTTAAATTTTTAACTGATTTTGGAAAAAAATTAATAGGAAAAGTTAGTAGTGTTTGAGAAAAATTGATTTTGAAAAGTAAAAGTTGGTAGTGTTTGGTAAAATATGTTCTTTTTGTGTAATAGAAAAAGTAAAAAGCACATTCTAGTTTTTAGCTTTTAAGTGTTTGATTCAAGTAGAAATTGACACTTGAAAACATTTTTTAATTTTTTTTAAGTCAGAAGGTGAAAATATTTTTTTCTAATTTTTGCAAACATACCCCAACAATTAATACTTCTGGCTTAATACTAGACTCTAAACAATGAGATTAATACTGCATCTACGATGTAAAAATGTGAGCATGTGCATAGTGATTGGTGGCATGAGAGATACGATAGTACATAGTTTGGCGTTCTAAAATAAAACCACGTTTTTATATTCTTTGTTCGAAATTAAAAAAAATCGTGAAATGACCAAATTACTATTGCAGTAACTTTCATTATTTTTAATTACTGTATTTTTCACTAAAGCTTAGGTCGATTTTGAGGCAACTCAGGCAAGTAATTCAACACTCATCAGTCATCATGTGTAATATGTTTAACAACGTCGTGAATATAGAGAAATATTACCTCTAAGTGGCTCCAACCCACATAAGAGGGAGTGGTGCAACTATTTGAAAAAAGTGAAATTGAGGGGTGACATTTACAATATCAGAATTACGTCTGACATTTCATTTTCGTGACTATTTCAGGGATTAAAAGTGGGATTTTCCCTACTATTTATTCAAAGTTTTAAAAACTTGGAATGAGCGGGGCCTAACATAAACCCTTACCTTATCATATTAATATCAATGACTTATAGACTCTATAATGGGATTGATACTCGATAATGGGATTAATATTGATTAGACTCTAAACTATGAGAATATTACTAATAGGATAAATATTAGAGATAATTATCCTCTATATGTACTAAAAGATGTCATCTTTCTCAATCTATGACTCAAATGTTTTTTTTCCTAATATGATAGCTTCCTCCGTGAATCCATACGGTCGAACATATCTTCTCTATTATTCAATTCCAGATTTACCCTTTAACTGAATAACACGTTTAATTATTACTACGTATAATACTCAGCCGCCCATCCATAATTGATCAATTGCATAAGTAGGCTTCGTATCCATCCATAATTGATCAATTGCAAAAAGTAAGCTTCATATCCATTAGGAGAGATTCATGTTCATCTATTATTCTCATCAATATCCCTTTTAAATCAACTTTTTTTACAACAAATTTTTCTGTATTTTTTGGGAAATATTATAGAAGCTTGTCTGCTGCCATCATCAAGTCATGCCACAGTTGTCCAGCTGCCATCATCAAGTTGTGCCACCGCTGTCCAACCGCGCGCTTGCCGCAGCCCATCGTCTTGCCGCGCGCTTGCTCGCCGCCGCCACTCAACCGCAGGCTTGCCCGCTGGCCGCTGCCGTCCCTAGACATGTGTGCCACTGTTGTCCTGATCTTTGGACGTTGCCACCATCAATAGACATGGAGGCCGCCATCCCAATTCATGTGCGCCGCCACCATCCCGATCCTTGCGTGCTGCCGCCGGCCCGCCACCATCCTCTGTCCCTACACCAACCTACATGCACCTCCAAACCGCACACCTCCGTCCCAATCTTGCCGCCACCCAGCCATCTCCTCTATTCTCATTCATATTCTTCTTCTTCTCTACTATTGAAATTAGGATTTGGGGGCATTAAACATGGGCAGTAAACATAGGCAGTGAGCATGACCAATGAACATAGCAATAACTATGGTTGAGTATGGGAAAGAAGTGAATATGACAATATGTAATGTTGTACATGGCAATGAAGGAATGTATTGACGAAGTGTGTATGTTTTGCAGTGAATTGCATGCAATAAATTGTTTCATAACATTGGCGGAAAGTGCATTGATTATGACAAATAGTGCAGTAATGTAGAGCAGTATCACCCGCAAGAAATGCAATATAATTAATTAGACGTAAAATACTAAAATTATAAATCTAAAAAATATTAAAAAAATAACTATAAATAAATTCCTAAAGTGAATGAGAAGAGAACTAATGTTGGCGGAAGTGCAGTGATATGTTACCGAAAGTGAAGTAATGTTATGCAGTAATGTCGAGCAGTAACTGCAGTATGAGATGCACTATTTTTAATTAGACAAAAATAATATAAAATTCACATTTTTTTAAATAAAAGTATTTTAAAATGCAATAGATCAGATCGGGTCCGCCGAAATTTTCTCCTTCCCCTGCTCGATGACTTCTAATTGAAGTTTTTCTTTCATTTTCTTTTTTTTCCATGCGTGTGTTTGCTTGGGGTATTTTCGTACTTTAGTTATATGGTACCGTTTTGTTTTTCGCTGTTTGGTCATACGCAAGAACAAAAAGAACTGTGGTCATATATTAAGAATGCTTCCTACTTTTGGTCATATGCGGGTAAAATTCCCTAAATATTATTACTCAACAATGGGATTAATATTCATTGACAAATTTGACAATTATATTAAGAAAAGACTAAAAGGTTGAACATATATAAATCGCTATCGAATCAGAGAAAATTATAAATCATGAATTTTGATTTATGATTGTTGATTTAAACATATGTTAATCATTAGTTGCTGTGATGGAGGTTGAACAACTAGGCGTATTCATTTGGGTTTGCTATGAAATTGAGCTGTGTTGAAAAAATATGTTAAAATTGTATTAAATAGTCAATTCGTTATACAATTTTAACTGGAGTTTGTATCTTATTTGGATCAGGTCAAAGTGGTTTCGTATTTTCCTTGTTAAGCGCTTCGATTCGATATGTGGTGCACTCAAAACGACTAACAAGTGAATGAGAAATTAATTTTCGAAGTTCACTCATTGAAATGAAGAAAACTGGGAAAATGATGAGTTTCTAGTATGCTTTATCCCACACCGGAAAACCCAAGGGATTTGCACCCCCTTATAAAAGTGATCCTCTTTGAAAGAGAGTCGAAAAGTTCTCTTTCACGGAGGGGGTGCCGATCAAATTCCGAAAAACAAAGAAGAAAAACCGCAATTTGGATGCGTGGGTGCTCAGTTTGTAACGCCTAGTTTCTGTTTTTAGCTATTTTATTTGATTATTTTTTTTATTTTCCGATTAAACACACGAATTCATCCAACAAGCTATATATCAAAAGATGGAATATAAACTTAATTAGTACGAGTATCTAATTAGCAGGAAAATACATTTCAATTTCCTAAATTAGACTAACTCAAATTTTAGGAGAACGTATTATATATGGCTTGATAGATAAAAAAGTTCCATAGATAAGCCATAGATTTCTTAAAAAAAGTTCAATATAGAATTGAATTCATTCATAAA